CACAAATGCTATTCGAAGAAGGCCATAACTGATAGGACCTCCTACCCTTTACACCGGTTTTCCCGTTCTTTCAGATATCCATCCACATTTATTACCTCGAATCTTTGATTATAAACAGGATACTCTCTCAGGAGCATCTGTGCTCACAATTCCTCCACCAGATATTGCAAAACCTCGAGAAAGAGTTGCCCATGTGCTGCTTTTCTCTGCTTTAACCCACAGATGACTCAGGGCTGAACCATGCGTGACGTGGACAGATGAGCGCATCTTTATGTGCAAGAAAGTGGTAGCAATTTGGAGGGGTATTGGATGTATTCTTGCAAGAGTATGAGTATGAACACTTTACTGTCTATACTACACCTGTCACACCTTCTTCCAATAGCCCCAATGCCCGTTGTACTGACTTTTGCAATGTTTAAAACTTGGGTCCGAGCTGAATTTTGCCCCACTTTGCAATATCAACGATTATTCGGTCAGCCATGACTCCCTGTGAATAGTACAATAACGTCATTTCTAAGGGCAATATAGTGAAATATTGGACCGAGGGCCGAAGGCCCAAGGTCCAATATTTCACTATATTGCTCGCAGAAATGACGTTATTAGTATTATTACCACCGTTAACGACCAGGACTGAAACAGCAAGAAAATCTTACGCATTGAACGATACCTAATATCCCGGGGAAAATTGCCGGTCCAGAATATATTCTAGACCGGTCCATATGGACCACAACTATGACGTCACACATTTCTCAGGTCGATATAGTAAAATGAACGTCTTCTAAACTAGCACTAAAACCCCTAGAACTGGCCCGGCAAGGTGGTAATAATGAATGATATTCCATTGCAAGGAGGAGTAATCCGGCTTTTTGGTACATTAAATGAAAAGGATGCAATCAGCATTGGTATTATGTTTTCTTCCAATATTGCATCGGGCTCCGTACACTGACTTTTGCGATTTTTATAACTTGGCCCAAAGCTAATTTTGGCGCACTTTGCAAATGGAATGATTACTCGCCCAACCATGACCAAATATCAATGAATGATATATCATTGTAAAGAAGAGACATATGGCTTTACAGTGCATTGAATGAAATCAATGCTGTTATCACTGGTTTTGTGCTTTTCCGAGATAACGATCTGTTGCGTTTTTTGATACGCACTGTATATTTATGTTTTTAAAATACATGTACAAATATTCCGTTGCGTTTTGTCTCATACGTATAGAACTTAATTAATGTGATTGTCATTCAACATTTATCAATTTTGATTTTGTTCAAAACGTTTTGCTACCTACATGCAATGATTTCACTATGATGTCACTAGTTAGGTTGCAAAATACTTTGATATGCTAAAACACAGAAGTGGCACATTAGACATGGCATTTTATTATTGAAAAATTTGTTTCATTTGGTCAATCTTTGCATTGGTGTTAAAAGTGTTAACAATTTATACGTTGATGTATCGTGATAATAGGTTGTTTAAGCTTACGATGTTTTTTACAACCTAAACGTGAACGGGAAATATTAAACGATGCATTTGTTTTGGCGATTGGTCATACGTATAGGTTGACGTTTAGATTTTATTTGCAAGCTTAAACTCCCTTATCTATTACGATTACGAACCAAATCATTTTGAATGTATTATTTCAATAATAATATTTCTGATTTTAAATCTGTTTCCATAATGGAATTCAAAACTGAGCTCCACATGTTCCGTGCTTTGATTCTAAACTGAGCTCCACATGTCCCGTGCTTCTTAATTTGCGCGTCTCATTCTATCTCACATGACATTTTTAGCTGGCTGAGCAAACCAGACAAGACAAGACAATCGGAAACACCGATCCATGTGATGCTGAAATGCGACCTGTACTTCAACATGATGGAATTCCTCTCATCTTTTAAACACTTGGTTCCACATGACGCGCGAAATCATCAACTTAACATTAATTTTATTTTTACAGCAGTTTATTGTATTGCCGAGTTTTTGCAATTGGATGCTGCTATTTCCAGATAAGATCCCTGCTTCACATGAATCACATCCGTTCAGCCACTGGGTTGCTACACAACTTTGTCATCGGTCATCTTCATGAGAGGGGGTTGGCATTAGACCATCTGGCTCAGGGAATTATTGTATGGGAGTCAAATACGGGTGGGCGGTTGGGAAAGTCCGTAATATTTTTGGTACTTTTTTATGATGGCCTAAACATACGTATATGCGCCTCTTGCACTGGTAAAACTTATCATAATAACATAATCACGCGAGACCTTTTTAAAGAATTGATAGTTGATGATGAAAGAGAGTCGTAAATAACAATGATATTACATAATATTAAAAGAGTCGCACATGTACATGTTTAGTTGTCACAATAATAACAATAACAATGATATATGATATACATGTGCTCTGTAGAGTATCAATAATTATTATATCTATTACGTTGGCTACAATCGTGGCAGATTTGCAGAGTAAAATCGGACTTTACTCCATTTTGGAGAGACACTTGCTCCTGATTTCAGCGGGACCTCCTCATGTTTTCAGCGGGGCCTCCTCATGTTTTCAGCGGGATCTTTAGTTTATTGCTCATGTTAGAAGCGGGACCTTGAGGGATATGGTAAAATGGAAATATATAAATTTCGGCGAAGCTTTAGGAAGTGAAACTCAGAATACCTTTATTTCATATCACTATAAACATTTCAACTGAAGGGCAACGACCTTCTTCAGCTATAAAATATAGAAATATATAGATAAAGATTTAAGATGATACATTCTCTCTCCAATTATCAAATAACGAAATTCAGAACATCAGATCGTGATACTTGTTTTGCAGCAGTTGCTTTTTAGTATCACTGCCATGTGATAATTGAATAAAATTAAATGAAAACGCTTTGTACAACATACAATTTAAGTAAACAAAAGATACCCCTTCATTTCTTTTAATTGCTCGCGATTTCAGCGGGAACTTGCTCGCGATTTCTAAATCATGACGGGGCTTTAGATACTACCCGTGAATAACTCAAATACCGTTGGACCGATTTTGTTCATATTTTGTACACATATACCCTATGGAGGTAGAAGTTCTGCTCGGAAGCCGATTTTCAAAATGGCCGCTCATTTCAAAATGGCGGCCATTTTAGTGCCGAATTTACAGTAATTTAGGTGCAATATGTAAAACTGTAATAGCAATATGTTTTAGATGTAAAAAAATTATATAGGACATTAATAAAGCGAGAAATGTAGATATTAAAGAAGCACATGGCAGCCATCTTGAAAAATGGCGGCCTTTACTCGTTATTTTACGATTTTTGCTGTAACTTGAAAAGTAGTGGAGCGATTTTGTTCATATTTGGTATGTGAAAACTATAAACATTGCACACTGTCTAAAGACACTTTTGGTAGAAGGCGGCCATTTTAAAAAATGGCCGCCATTTTGAAAAATGGCCGCCATTTTGAAAACTCGAAAAGTAGTGGAGCGATTTTGTTCATATTTGGTATGTGAATACCAAAAGCTGTCCTTTGACACTTTTAGTAGAAGGTGGCCATTTTGAAAATTTTTTGAAAAATGGCTGCCATTTTAACGTATTTTATAATAATTCAAAAAGTAGTGAAGCAATTTTGTTCACATTTGGTATGTGAATACTATAAGCATGGCACACTGTCTAATGACACTTTTGGTAGAAGGCGGCCATTTTTCAAAATGGTCGCCATTTTAACATATTTTACTATAACTCTAAAAGTAGTGGAGCGATTTTGTTCATATTTGGTATGTGAATACTATAAGTATGGCAAATGGTCTAATGACACTTTTGGTAGAAGGCGGCCATTTTGAAAAATGCCTCTCATTTTTATCCCAACGAACGAAGTTCGGTAGGGATATATGGAAGCCCTCCGTCCGTCAGTCCGTCAGTCAGTCCGTCAGTCCGTCCGTCCGTCCGGAAAATAACTCAAATACGAGTTGACGGATTTTCTTCATATTTAGTGGAAAGATGTATATTGGTGAATAGTTGTACGCAAAAAAAAATTTCAAGATGGCCGCCGCTTTAAAAATGACGGGACTTTTTCGCAAAAAAACATAAATTATTGTTTGAAATTTTGGTAGTATATTCGCAACATCTATCTATTTCACATATATTCCGTGTTTTTCATCTTGACCCCCAGGGGCTGTGTATGGGGGGTCAGGAAAACAGTAATTTTCGCTAATTTTTAGATCTTTCTGAAGTATAGCTTTATTATACTCAAATGAAAGGCAATTAAGAGTAGATTGCAAATATTGTATCTTTTTTCTGATTCGAGCCTCGTAAAATTCAAAATGGCCGTCTAATGTACGATTTCGCAATAATTTTTCGATCCCTTCAAAGTATGGCTATATTATACTCAAATTGAAGGAATTTTGGAGTAGATCACAATTATGGTATTATTCTTCAGATTTGTACGTCAGAAAATTCAAAATGGCTGCTTTGCAGGAATTCGCAATTCTAAAATTTAAATTTTTCAATTTTAACCAAAGTAATGAGTATAATTGATTGGAATTCGGTAATTGATATTTTGTTCATTGGGATTTGCTACTCCGCGGAGTTGCCATTGTCTAGTTGCTATATACTTTGTTTGTAAAAATGCCATCCATGGCTGTTCGATGGGATTCGCTACGCTTTGGCGTTGCCGTTGTTCTGGTTTTGTTACAAATAATTGGCAAAAAATTATATCCGTTTTTTTTTCAGCCATTTTACTTCAGTACTTAACATCGATTTGTCCATCTGTCTTTCAGTCAGTCCAAAATAGTGGCAAGTGGCTTGAAATAATTTTGTTACAAAAAATCAGCAGAAAATTATATCTGTTTTTTTTTTTCTGTCACCATGTGAGCCCAGTACCCAAGGCACTAATTTATTATTTTTTTTCTGTCACCATGAGAGCCCAGTACCCATTAATTTGTTTAATGTTTATACTGTAAAGTCGTATTGTGTACTCTTATACCATATAAGGGGTGAATTGAGAAATAAATAAATAAATAAAATAAACAGAACAAAAATTACGTCCTTAATGGTTAAATATGCAAATCTAATATCTCATTTAAAACAAGTTGATATTTATTTTTCATTAACATTTCACCTTTAAAATCAATAATTGATGTAATGTTGTGTAATCATTATAAAGTTTTGTTTATCTCAATGACTGATTATCTGATATTGTGTAATTACAGTATAATAGTGGTGGCCTCATCCAAGGGTGACTTACTTCTATTACAAGAGGCTCTGACGGGGAAATATGGCACATTTACTGAGGATGACTTGAACAATGCCCTCTCAAGAGCTGCTAACAACAGCAGTGTCAGCTGCATCAAACCCCTTCTGGAGGCTGGCTCTGACCCAGATTCTGAGGACACTGATGGTGACACACCCTTGATGCTGGCCAGTGCTAATAACAACCTCCGTGTTGTCAAGGCACTTTTGGACTATGGCTGTGATGTAAACCTGGTCAGTAATTATGGCCGCACAGCCTTACATTTGGCTGCATGGAATGGACATATTCATGCAGTACATTTGCTGCTTGAGAATAAGTGTGACACAGAGGTGCAGGATCAGTATGGGGATACTCCACTTATGTTAGCTGCCTTACATAATCATCCTGAAATACTCAGGATACTCATTCAACATAACTGTAATGTTGCAGTCAAGAACTTTGATCGTGATACTGCCTTACATTATAGCGCTCGCAAAGGATATATTGGCATCATAAAGCTTCTTCTGGAAGTCGGTGCAGATGTAAATGGGGAAAATAATTGGGGGTACACCCCACTGACTATTGCAATCTCTGAAGGGCGAGTAGACACAGCAGTGTTCTTAATATCTAAGGGGGCTTATATTGGCATTGCCTGTAGAGCTAACAGGGCCCCCTTACATTATGCAGTACGCCGTGGCCTGAAGGAACTTGTGCAATTGTTGCTGCTCCATGGAGCAAACTGTGATCAGAAAGACTCAGATCATAACACACCAATCATAGATGCGGTCTACAACAACCATAAGCACATAGTGAAGATGCTTATACAGGCCAATTGTGACCTACAGTGTAGGGGAAGAGCTGTCATCTCACACCAGTGGAAGTGGTCTACCTTATTGGAAATTGCCCTCCATAAAGGACACTACACCATAGCAAGAATGCTCATCTCTGCAGGCTGTGATAGGTCATGCTTGAAAGAATGGAGCCAACTCCCACAGACTCTTGCTAACAACCAAGAAATGATGTTATGGCTCATTGAGTTTGGCAATATGCCACTGAGTCTTATGGCGCAATCTCGTAGACTTATTCGTGGCCTCTATGGTTATGATGCTGTATGCAGCATCTCGAAGTTGCCCCTACCCAAGCAGATTCAGCGCTACGTTGCATTCTGTGATCTTGAGGAGTTTATTGAAGAAGACAAATAAACAACATTAGTTCCTCGCTCATGACCAGGGCAAACTTATTTGTCTCCAACAAAAGTTTGGTGGTCTGGGTAGATGGACTATTCTTGCACGATTTTTTATTTGCCCCGGCTGCCTTGATTTCCGGTTACTATGGCAATCATTTCTTAAATAATATTTCTGTTATACCAAATATTTTTTGATAGATTAATACAGCATTCTATGTTTCACATTCTGTGAAAAATTCATCAGAATATATTGAAAAATAAAAAAGTTAGAGAGATATCATGAGAACTTAATGATATACAGTAAAACCTGTCTAATCCGAACACCCATGGGACCAGCTAAAAGCGTTCAAATTGGCAGGTGTTCAAATTTCGAGGATTTTGCTGGTCGGGGGGGGGGGGATTTTCATTGTTCAGTGCACTATATTGAACACTTAATACTAAGTCAGAAAACAATACATGTTGTTGATGAGTTAATTCTACAATAGGCCTATAGCCTATATGCTGTTTTATTTATATTTTGAACAATTTCACCATTTTAGTAAAAATAACTCTTATATTTTGGCAAAAACTTTGTAATACACTGTAAAAGTATATGATAGTCTCGTACGAAATCTTGTGCTTATCAAATGGCTTATCCCATATTATGGTTATATAGCACTGCTTTACTTTTGCTTGAAAAAGTCCTTCATTGTTGTTTTAGTGCTACGGCCAAGGCGATTTGTGTCCAAAACACCTAGATTCAATTTGACTTTAGATTCTTGTAGGGGACCCCAAGGCATGTAAAAAAAAGTTTGTGAACCCTTGCAAAGCAGGCTCAAAAATGCTGAGTCAGCAAATTTTATCATTTTCGAGTCGGAGTTTGACCATATGCTTGAAACTATTTAATATCTCATTTCAGGATGTTGCAATTGTAATGAAACATTGTTAGTATATCAATAAGGCATGTATAAAGAATTCCTGAAAGTTTGGGTCTTATCCAACAAAATTTGGTAGAGATCTGGGATAATTTGTCCCTAAAAGTACATAATTTCTTTTCAAAATTTCTTAATCAGTCGATAGTTAATCAGTCGTTTAAAAAACAGTAAGGGCCTATGGTGTATAAAACCTGATTTAAAACTTCACTGATGATGTTAGCAAATATTTCTTGAATTAGTTTCAATAAAAAGTACAAGTATTTATTTTTTCTGATTTTTCTCTTTACCTTCCCCTAAAATTGCAAGAAAGGGGGCGTGGCACATAACACTTCAGTTGTTGAACTTGTTGCTAGGGTCAAATAGAAAATGTGTATCATTATAGCAAAAAGTGTTATTCTAAATAGATCTTAACACTATATGTGACATCATGATATGCTAAACATATTCATTATCTACCATTTTTTATTTTTACAGCTTATCATTGCCATACCCCATAAAACTGTTTAGGGTATGTGTGGTCAGCAATAGGTTATACATGTATGTGTACTTAAAACATTTTTCAAAATTGTATTTCAGATGCCATTCTATCCTAATGTTGTTCATGTAGTTATGGTATGTTAAGAATGAATTATGATGATAATATGTTATATTACACTCCCCATCATAAGTTTTGTAACTGTAAGTCCCCCTTTGAATCACTTATTAAAGCTTGTCATGCTGTTTGGCAATTTTAAACAAGACATCAAGCTTTTGGAATAAAGCAATAAGGAACAAAATCAAGGTTCAAACATTGACAGACCTTAATATGTAATCATATGAAAACTTGCAGTTGCCAACCTTATACAGGGGGTGTATAAATATTATATGTGTCATAAATTGTTTAGTTGTAGAAACCTGAAGCCAAAGGAAATAATAGTGCCTTACATTCTCTCAAAGACAGTGATCAATTCCGTGGCACTGGGTTTGTTGACATTACTTATATGATGTGTGACATTACGCAAGTTTGGTCCTAAGGCCAACATATTCCAATGGTGCAGAATCCCACTCGCCCCATCAAATCCCACTATGCCATATCGAGTCCCACAATGTCCCAAGATACCTTGTTAACTTTGCCCCATGGAGTCTCATCGAGTCCCTCCATATCCCGTCGAGTCTCACGGAAATGATGTACTAGTAATTTAGTTTAAAAGGTTTTGCCAAGGTCATTTTGATCCCAAGTTAGCTGACACATCCCATGATCAAAAGTCCCACGATGCCCAATGGAAAGAATGAATAGGTTCATTCTCAGTGGGACTTCGCCAAATGATACCCAATCGAATCTCATGGGACTCAATGGGGCTTCATGAGGTAAATCCCAAGGAATCCGAAGGAGTTCCATCGGGCAAAGCTCAATGAAGTCCAACAGATTTCCCTGAGGTCCCACCCAATGTTAAATCAATGGAGGTCCCACCCAATGTTAAATCAATGGAGGTCCCACCCAATGTAAAATCAATGGAGGTGCCACCATGCCGTATTGGTGTATGTTAGGCTTTAGCGAAGTAACTTCCTTTGTTTACATTCATCAAATCGTTAAAAAGGAAAAGTTGTCAAAACTTTGTAAGAGCGTGATTATTTGGACCGATTTCACTTGTCTGCTACAGCTATTTTAGTTTTACACGAACTGAGCGGGCCAGTGCCGTTCATAATATCTTCAAATAAACTTTTTCTCCTGCATTCAATTCATGACCACATGTTACTACAGAATCCATAGGATCCTCGGGGATGAGCCATTCCATTGTCACTTGGCCTTGGATTGAATGTCTTTAACTCGGGTGAATAGGTTTATTATGAAGGGGTTTCCATGATAACGTATGAGTCTTGGAAAAGCAGATTCCAAAAGTCAATGGGAGTGACAAAACGTAAGTAATGCTTAATAACTGAGTGTGGATTGGTTGATCCCAAGATATTATCAGTCAGTAGCTTATTACGTACTATAACAGTTAGCAGGGAACAAAAACTGAAACTTACTGTTATGCGGTAATCACAATACAAAAATATGTCATATTCCGCAATGAATATGGCATATTCACTTGCGGTGTATGACAGATTCACCTGCGGTATATGGCATACACACTAACAAATGAGAATGTGATATGGAAGTACGCAATTGTCAATTGCTTAGATTGAACAAACAAGTTAAACATTATAAATTATTATAATGATTACTGAATCAACAGCACTGTGTATCAAATATATTAAGTTAGAATATATTAACTTGGCAGAAGTATCAGTCACCAATCTTGTGCAATAAACTTACTCAATCAATCCAGGATTGATACATTAGTACTAGACGCACTAACTTTATTGGTAATCCAGCGTAGTTTTTCATTTAGAGTCGATTCTGGCAACCAATCAAATCAACTCTTTCTGTATCACATTTTGGACTGCAGTATATGGCACTTTCCGCAAGTGAGTATGACATATTCCGCAGGTGAATATGGGGTATTCACTGAAATCAATGTATCGCATATTCACTGCAGAATATTGCATACCCACCAGCAGAATATGCCATACACTGCAGGTGAGTATGGCATATTCACCCGTATCACAAATACTGCGCAACCATGAATGTATGCCATATACCGCGTAACACTTACTGTCGATCATGCTGCTCCAGAAATAATGAGTCATCTGTACAAAGCATAATAAAGGAATTAGAAGCAAATGAGAATCCATTTAAGATTGAAATTTTGATAATTAGCCATCTTGATTTTCAAGGTTTCAATTGCTCCAACTGTATAATAACATGGAAGTCGAAGATGATAATAAACTCCATTAAATACTTACTATGGAGGTGATGACTTTGCTGGGGTTTCTTAACTTTCTATCTACAGCTAGGGATACAATTATTTTCTGTACAAAGTACAATCAATTCCCTTGAAACTATGTGAAGTATCGGGTGCTAGACTAGCATTGAAACATTATCTCCAATTCCTTATAGGGACAATAGGGGTGAAGCCAGCTTTGGTTCAGTGGGGGTTTGATCGCCAAAACATTTTTGGTTTTCAGTCAGGGGGATGCAACTGTGGCATAAAAAAGGCTAAAAATTAAGATCTATCTTGAATTTTACAAATCTTGATTCAACTTCCTTCAAAATAGGGCAAGAAGCTTAAAATAAAAAGCATTTAAAACTCTTCTTCTATCTCATGGTTATATTTTTATTGGTTATGGGGGGGGGGGTGCGATCCCATTGCACTCCCTGGCTAAGCCTATGGACAAGATGTATTATTTTGACATAAACAAAACATACACATCTTGTTATGTTCTACAGACTACAACTAAACAATTTATTATTACATATATACAATACAAAGTGTCCAAACTGCAACCAGGCTCTGAGAAACTCTGGCTCTTAATCATTTGTAGTGTTACAATTTGTTATTATATAGCTAATTATTTGCAGCAACAATAGGAGTCCCGTTGCAGTTTACATGTTTACATGGACCCTATACTATATAGCATGTACACCCCCTCCATAAATTTGGCAACTGGAAGTTATTATATGATAGGATATCAAAGTCTGTCAATGTTTAAAACTTGATTATGTTCGTTATTACCATATTTCAGATACTTCGATTTCATATGCCAAAAATAAACAGACTTTAATAAGTGATTCAAAGGGGTTTGAGTTGCCAAACCTATGATGGGAAGTGCTATCATTCATAAACATAAACTATAACTACATGAACAACATTAGGAAAGAATGGCACCCGAAATACAGTTTTGAAAAAATGTTATAAGTACACATACATGTATTTCCAATTGCTGACCACACATGCCCTAAATGGTTTTATGGTCTATGGCAATGATAAGCTGTAAAAAATATAAAATGATAGATAATGAATATTTTTAGCATATTATGATGTCACATATTGTGTTAAGATTTATTTAGAATAACACTTTTTGCTATGATGATACGTATTTTCTATTTGACCCTAGCAAAAAGTTCAACAACTGAAGTGTAAGGTGCCACGCCCCCTTTCTTGAATTTTTAGGGGAAGGTTAAGAAAAAATCAGAAAAATAGATGCATGCACTTTTTATTGAAACTTATGCAAGAAATATTTGCTAACATCATCCGTGAAGTTTTTAATCAGGTTTTATACACCATAGGCTCTTACTGTTTTTTAAATGACTGATTAACTATCGACTGATTAAGAAATTTTGAGAAGAAATTATGTACTTTTAGGGACAAATTATCCCATATCTCTACCAAATTTTGTTGGATAAGACCCAAACTTTCAGGAATCCTTCATACATGCCTTATTGATATACTAACAATGTTTCATTACAATTTCAACATCCTGAAATGAGATATTAAAAAAGCCCACAGCTTTCCTGTGGAAGTAGGATGTAGAGGATTTGCCGGGAAGTCAGTGACTTGGATGCTGAAATCCCTTGGAATGCCATCTACCAAGAGGAAAAGAGCAAGTACAGAAATCGGAGCAGTAGCAGAGAGATGCTCCAGATGGATATGGTTGCGAAGCAGTGCTGCATGGTTGCCTCATTAATTCGACATCTTGTTTCTACCACTCTAGCTTGTTCTCTGTGCATGCATTGTGTCTCATTATGGTTTCCATAATGGGCGGGAGTTAACAGCAGAAGACGCTTACGGATCCACCCGGTCTTGCACAGTGCATGCATTTAGACTCGAGAAGCTACAGAGCGAGTAAGGAACAAAGTGGGGTAACAGCGCATGAGCGTTTAATTCAACATTTGTTCTGGAATTACCCAGTGACCTAGGGG